AGAATTCAATGGTGTCAAGCTGGGCGTGGTGGCACATGCCTGTAATCCCAGCACTTTGGAGGCTGAGGCAGGAGGATTACTATGGGTTGGAGGCCAGCCTGGGCTGCATAGTGAGACCCTGGAAGAAGGAGGAGGAGGAGGAGGAGGAGGAAGAATTATTCAGTAGTGTGAAAGGAACTTTTTGATGTGTTTCTCCCTGTGAGGTTTAAAGAATGGGCAGCCTTAGAATTGCTTGGGGACTTATGTTGAAATCCATTAAGATTGTCATAAGTTTTTTCATCACTGTTGTATTCCTGCTCCCTCAAATGATAATGGCCTAGAGTCAGTCTTTGTTGATGGTGGTGGTGTAGCCTACTAAGAATCTATATAATCCTTCTCTAGCTAAATAATTTGTTGTGGAAAAATATTTTTTTAAAAAGCTTACATATAGAGGCAGTTGTGTTTTGAAAATTTACAAATCTAAGCATAATTAACTGTTCCACATGGCTTACATCCAACGCAGATAGGTCTCAGTTATTTAGCTATTTATATTTAGCATTTCTTAAAATATTTAAAATCATTTTGGTCAACAAATCTGCTGTTTTAATGATCTGATTTCTATTTTCACCTGCCAAATAATGTCTACATGTTATTTGGTGTTTTTATCTGTGTTCCGGGTCAATATTCTGCTATGATGCTATGAATCTTCTATGATTTCAGTAAATGAAGAAAATTCCTGTTAAAATGTGCATCCTTTTCTTGGATAATCTCCCGAATGCTAGCTTCTGTCTTACCAAAAACAAAATTATGTCTATGTGTTCAACAGCATGCCAATATTTTCCTCACCATGCAGAATGGGTTTTTTTGCACCATTAATAACATTTCCAAATCAGTTTTGAAATTTGAATATTTAGCATTACTGTTGACGCTTATTTCAGATTCTTCATACTTCCTAAAAAAATGTACTAAATTCTTCCAGTCTGCATTTTTCCCTCATTTTCCAATTGTTTTTTCATCCACAGAGAGCTGGCTAAGTGCCGAGTCCTTTGAAGTTTCATAAAGTAACCAGAATCTAGGGATTTGCTCTCCCACCGTTTGGGAAACACTGAGGTCAGTCATATTTCCCAAAACTTCCAATCACGTTGTCTTTTGTAAAGCAAAAATTTCTTACTCGAGGTGGAGATTTTTCAACAAGAGAATGCAGTTGTTTTATGATCAAACTATGTGACCATGCATTTGCATTCTTTGCATTGTAAAAATCCAGTTTTTGGCTGGGATTTAGCTCAGTGGTTCCAGCGCCTGCCTTGTAAGCGCAAGGTCCCAAGTTCGATCCCTGGTACCAAAAAAATAAAAATAAATAAATTACTTATTCTTTAAAAAAAAATCCAGTTTTTAAAATTCATTGATTATATTTGATAACAGAGTTAGAGGTTAATTAACATTCTGCTCACATTTCTGTGACACATACACTGAAACCAACACCTCTGAGCTCTATTTTCTTTTCGTATTCCACTCCCTCCCTAATTTATTTAACAGTGAATATTTCACTTTTTCTTTTCATGGCATTTCATCTTCTGTTTCTGGTTCAATATTTTTTCTTTTCGATATCCTGGGATGAATAACATATTAGCTTGTTGAATATTAGAATTTATAACTTAAAAAGAAAAGAATGTGTAAGCCAGGCATGGTGGAGGACACCAGTGATCCCAGTACTCTGAGAAGCTGGGGCAGGAGGGTCTCAGCTCAAGCCCAGCCTTGAGCAGGTTAGCAACTTAGTGAGACCCTGACTCAAGATTAAAAAATAATAAATAAAAAAGAACAGAGAATAAGGCTCAGTGCAAAGGCCCTGGGTTCAATCCCCAGTACTGGAAAAAAACAAAAATAAAAAATATATAAATCTACCTTTGGAGTCATCAGTTAAACAAAAATGTTAAAAAAAAACACCCCCAAAACCCAAAGCCTCAAAATAATGCTGTCTACAATGTCAACAGTTGGGCAGGGCTTCCACATACACAAAGCAGCCCTTGTAGGGAAGGGACAGCAGGCTCTGACACTGTGACCTTCGGTGTCCTTAGCTGTGACCTTGAACCCCCCTGGGCTGTGGAGCACGCAGGCCCTTGCTTTCTGAAGATGCTGCCGCCACTTTCTGTCCGCCCACGCACCCCCAACTCCCACCCCGACCCCGGGCCGGCAGTCAGCGTCCCCGAGGCGCAGCCTCGGCTGGAGAAATGAAAATTTGCAGTGAGCACTGGAGAGTCCTTTAAAGTTCCTTCAGAGGAGGCCGAGAGGAGGCACCCCGGCCCTGGGCAAGAGCGCAGCAGTGAGTCCCGGATACCGGGGCGGGAAGCTGAGTCAGGAGCATCTCCGGCCACACACGGCTGATGTCTGGAGAACAGATGCCTGGCCACACTGTCTTTCCAGGGTGGGTCCCTCCAACCCTCCCCAGCGCCCCCGGTGTGTGCCCCCTGTCCCTCACCTCCCGTCCAGACGTTCACAGAAGTCCCAGCTGCTGCTCCCAGGGCTCCTGGGACTGCCGCAGCCCAGAATAGCCCCTCCTGCCTTCCCGCGCTGTCCGCCAGGCTAGAGACGCCTTGCCCCTCGCTCCGATCCCTGAGCCCTGCTCCTACGACCCTTTAATCCAACCTCGGTTCTCCCTGCTGGGTCGGGGTGGACAGGGCCGGCGCGGGTCTGTCCCGCCCCCGCAGCCTGCCTCCCACGCTGGGGACAGACCGTGTTCAAACCAGTTTGGCTGGACTGAGTTTTGCCCTTGGATTTTAGAATTGGATTCGTTGGTGGCGCTCTTCTAGTACAGGTGCGTGCACAGTTCTCGTGTTCACTTTATTTCATATATCTTGGTTTTCTAGGGATTGAACCCAGGGCTTTCACATTGAGGTACATCTCCAGCCCTTTAAATTTTTTTTTTTTATTTTATTTTGAGAGAGGATCTCGTTGAGTCACTAAGTTGCCTGGGCTGGACTCAAACCTCCAACCTTCCTGCCTCAGCCTGCTAGCTGCAATTACCGGTGTGTGCTGTCTCCTTTGATTTTTTTACATCCATCTCACCCCTGGTGTAGATACAGGCTCTTGTTTCATTGAAGTGGAACATTAAAAAAATCAGCATGTGTTTGTAGTACGTATAACTCCCACAATGTTGTGTGCATATTTGTGTACACGTCCATGATACGTGGTGTTGCGTGGACTGAATTTGCCTTTTGCTAAGGGAATGAAAACAATTCCATGGAGATTTCAGACCCCGGTGGCCAGGGAGGAGGCGTCTGGGCAGTGGCCCTTGGGTCACAGCAGGCGGTGGTCAGCAGCTTGGTCATCTGCCGCTCCTGTCCCTTCTCCACGCTCTGCCTCAGGCCCTGAGCTCTGCCCCTCCGCTGCCAGGAGTCCTGAGCCTTCTCACTTCCGAGAGCCACTGTCCTCTCTGCCGCTTGCCACCATCCACAGACCCTGGCAGTTTTGATCTCTGCTTTCCAAGGCTGATTATTCTCCGGCTAGGTCTTATTTTCAGAGAAAAAGGGTTATTAAGAAACCCAAAGAACTACTGTTTAAGTGGCTTATGGCTACTTATAGGCCATACTGGAAATAAAAACTGAGGAAGTTTTAAGATATTTACTAAATCCATTTTTAAAAATAGCAATAGCTGGGCGAGGTGGCACCTGCCTGTAATCTCAGTTTCTTGGGAAGCTGAAGCAGAAGGGTCACAAGTTCAAGGCCAGCCTGGGCAACTTAACAAGACCTTGTTTCAAAATAAAATAAAAAGAGCTGGGGTGTAGCCCAGTGGTAGAGTGTGCCTGAGTGTGATTCCTAGTACTACAGAAAAAGTACTAAAACCATTCCATCTTAGCGTATTTCATGAAAAGTAGCTATATTTTCCAAAACATAAAAAATTTAGTGTGAGGAGAAGCCCTGATCAACATTTCTGCAAGTCTTATTATTAATGTCAAGCTTGATCAAAAAGAGCTGGAGTCTCAGATCCACATTGGCATGCTGTCTCTTTCTGTACCAGGTTGTGGAGCGTTGAAGAAATTCCACTGTATACTTGAGAGAGAGTCTCAGTGAAAAAAGCAGCTGGCATTTGGCTTTATTTTATTTTATTTTATTTTTTTTGAGACAGGGTCTCACTATGTAGCCCAGGTTGGCCTCGAACTCACAGCAACCCTCCTGCCTCAGCCTCCTAAGTGGCAGGATTACAGGTGTGTGCCACCATGCCTGGCACAAATCTTCATGTTTTGATGAGCATTTTGATTTTTAGAAATAGCCAGGGGCCATTCAGAATGAAATTTGGCTTAGACTGTGGGTTATTAAATTGGGTAATACTACATTTTGGATTTTTTTAAAGTAATACCAACTTCCTAAAATATGGATTGCAAATCTACTTTAAGACCATTCCCCATGTGACACACGTATTCACACATGTGCAAAATGATGCTTGTGCAAGTTTAATAATTGCCCATCCTCTGAAGAGTGAAAATTGGAAACAATCTAAGTGTGCACTGCTGGGACACCAGTTAAAATCACCCGTGGCAAGTGCATGTCATGTCACGCTGCTGCTGGAACGAACAGCATGAGGGGGTCCTGTGCATATCGATAGTAAATCAGCTCCAAGATACGCAGTGAAAAAGTGACACAGAGAACAGTGTATACCCCGTGCTATCATCTGTAGGGAAATGTTTAAAATTGTGCATAAAGCCCACAGTGAGTGAGCTCGCCACGCCTCCTCTGTCTTTGCATCCTAAACTATATTAGTGTTGCTTAATGAAACAGAAACTTAAATGCCCCAAATGGAAAAGATTATGATGTCCTCACTCAGACAATTAAGGCTAAAACCAGTTTCTAACACTCAGCTTACTCTCCGGGAAGTTTTTCCTATTTTTGGAGCGCTGGCCTGACGGAGAGATGCAGCAGGCGCCAGGTAGCACGCGCAGGGTGACAGCTGGGGAGAGGCGCTTGCGGAGACTTGGCATTCTCCTTGCCTGTCTCGTTCCTTTTCTCATCCTGCTGCGTCTCACGAATAGAGAAACCGAGTCCAAGCGAGGGGGAGAGACGCGTCCAGATCTCTGGGCTCTGGGTCCAGCCCCGGCTTTCTGCCAGGATGTGGGTGCTGGAGGGAGGCGGTTGTCTTTCGTCTCCCTCCTCTCCTCACCCCTAAGCAGGCGCGGAGGCCCGGCAGGGTGAGTAGCCGAGACTGTGGGACAGTCCCTACCCCTCCCTCCTCTCTCTTCCTCCCCTGGGCCACCACATCCTCCTGCAGGGCCCCTGGCATCCCCAGGAGTGACCCCCTCGTCTGAAGATGCCGGTAGTGAGAGGGACGCAGTCTCATGCCTTTGGGGTGGTGAGATTTACCATTCGCCCCCGCAGGCAGGTTCCCGCGAGGAGTAAGTGATGAGGTGGAGAAGAGGAGGCGTCAGCTGCCCAGGGCCCTGCGTCTGCCTCTGCTAAATACCTCTGAGAAACTCGGCTTCCAGCTGAAGGGGACCCGTGTGGCCCCAAGAACCCCCTGGAGTCCCTGGGTGAGATGGACTGGACCAATCACAGCTTTCGGGACTTGGGAGCCGGCCGTGCCTCCCTGGAGAGCCTCATCCGGGTGCTCCCAGCAGGTAAGACCAGCTGAAAAAGCTCAAGCAAAATGATGGTCACTTACTGTTCAACAACAGGCTCAGCATTTAGTCCTTAGAAAGAAACAAAACAAAACTCCGTGAGGTAAGTGTTCTTAGTACGTCCACTGCACAGAAGCAGAGAATGAGGCTCCCAGAGGGTGTGTCTGCCCCCAGATCACACAGGCAGGAAGTACTTTTGGGCTAGGCTGTTGGATCCTAAGGCCAAGCTCTTCCCGGACCTCATGTCCATGCGAGCTCTTCCTGCCCAGCCTCCCGCTCCTGCCTCTCAGGAGGCTGCTTCTCTTCTGTCCTGGATGGGATGGCCATCCTCGTGCTGCCTGCTCCCTGTGGTGGACAGGCATGCCCAGCCCACCCGCCTCCACCAGCTGGTGACTCACGTTCCCCTGTCCTTGTCTGGGTCATGTGTGTTCTGGACCCTACCCACTTCCCTGCTGTCGAGCCCTGTGACTCGGTGCCTCACCCTTGGTGACTCGCATTTGATAACAGGCACTGGGAAGATCTGGCTTCCAAGCCCCCTGCTGACCCTTAGGCGGGCAGCAGCTGTCAAGGGGAACTTGATGAGGGCCGCTGGCCTACGCAGAAGGGGCCAGGGGAAGACAGAGGAACTGAGTTGTCAAAGTGTCCTGCATGACTCCATCTGGCTTGGTGCTCCAAGAAGCTACAACTACTGGAGCCTACAACCTGGGAATAGACTGCTGTAGTGATGCGATGTGTCCCCTCAACCACCCTGGCAGCTGTCTCTGCGTCAGTGTCTGTGTAGCCAGCTTCCCGGACACGTGGCCAGAGTTGCCACCAGCCAGAGCAGCAGTCATCAGCTCCATTTTACGGAGGGAGAAACAGGCAGGGGCTGAGTGGCTGCAAAGGCTGCTCTGGGTTTGGACTCTGGTCCTGGCTGTGGCATTTACCTCGGGCAAGTGCCTTCCCCTGAGCCTCCTAGCCTCTGTGATGGCGTGTGTGTGTGCTAAGATTCCTATGCCTAGAGAAGGGATGGGCTTCCCTCACAGTGGAAAGAATTCTCTCCTTCCTCTCCGGAACATGCAAATCATCACCTCAGCCACCTTTCCTGGTCTCAGCCCAGCCAAGTCTGATCCCTTTCAAATTCCTTTACCCCCCTCCAGGTACTCATCCCCAAATCATTCTCCTTTCTTTTTTCTGGACATGCTGTCATAGCTGGTGACCTTGCATAAGGATAGTAGGGGTCAGAGGTGAAATGCTCACAGGAAGGCAGTACAATGCAGAGTGTGTGAACACAAAACTGAAAGCTAGAGACATGAGTTCACGTCTTACTAGCTCTGTGATCTGCATGAGTCTGAGCCCTATGAGCTGATCTCCTTACTATGAAATGGAAATGACGACTGTTCCTACCTACGCGATCATGAATACGCCCAGTACGTACATAGAAGTTAATGGCACCACTCAGGATCACATAGAGCTTATTGTGAGAATTGCTTGTGTGAGAATTGCCTCCAAGGAATCCTCTGCTTTATTTTCTGCAGGAAACAGCACCACCCTGAAGCCAGAGATGAGGTCTGTAGGACTCAGGGTGAGGGGTGGGCCCGGGGAAGGGCTCTGGGTGTGGGGGACCACGGCTTAGAGGCCAGGGCTGGGGAGAGAAAGCTGGGCTCTGGAGGAGGGAGAAGCCAGAGCTGGGGGAGCCGGCGCTGGGCAGGGGCCCTGGGCACTTTGGTGGGTGGTCGCCAAGCAGCCAGGGCAGCTGGACAGACTCCATTTCCCTGGTTGCTGTCCTCAGCATCGGCATAGCAGCCACGGCCCTCTCTGGATCTATTGGAGGTATGGCCCTCGTCTTGCTCCTGATGGGGGTCTCAATTGTGATCTTGAAGAAATGGAGGCGTGAGAGTGAGTTGAGCAGCTGGCCTAGGAGTGGGAATGAAGAAAGGGCAGCAGGGGTCGGGGCGGGGGAGGAGTGGGGTGTCTTTCCCGTGGGGCAGCCTTGAGGGAGGGGGCTGGGCAGGCGACAGTCACCAGGGCCTCCGTGCATAGCAGCAGGAGCTATTCGTCATGCAAATTCTTCATGCTGAAAGCCACATGTCAGCCTTCCACATATGTATGCATCAACTAAAAGAAATATCGATAGCAAATCGTCTCATCTGAGTAACAGCAAAATTACAAAATGTACTCATTTCCACTGTGTCTTCCTGGGAAATTTACTCCATCTCAGAGGCCCATTGAAATGGGTTTGGCACTTCAAAGCTGAGCCCTAAACTCAGCAATTTGACCTTGAGCTCATTAATTTTTCTAGGACAATTTAAGAAACAACTGAGACTTCAGACCAATTTTCTCCACAAATCTCTGGTAAGGTGGTGGCGAGGTCAGAGCCACAGAAGCTGCTGGTGTCTCTGCCATGATTTCTTGCTGTTTCCTAGATGGGCCCCATGCAGAGGGCAGGCTGAGGGGGCACAGTTGAGAAGGTGTTTGAAATCCCAGGCTCTGCCCACCAGCCTGTAGGGACAGCCAAGCGCCTGCTTTGTTGTTGGAAGTCCTCACTGCTTGGCCCTCTGCCTGTTACTGGTTTCTGTTTCTAAAGGACTTTCCCTGCCAAGCTGAGCCTGTGTACTGCAACGTGATCAGCCTGGCCCCCTGGAAGGAGGATGACTTTGCCATCTATGCCAACGTGCCCCGTTTTGGTTGCCCCAGGAGGACAATGCCAGACCAAGTGGAATATGCCTCTATTGTGTTCCGCTGATGGGGCCTCGGCGTGTGGAGTGGCAGGGACATATGGGGTCCAGACACCACTCTCGCTGTCATCTCTGTGTACACATGTGTGCTTTTAAATAATAAAACACAAAACATATGTGGGTGGAGGTTGCTGGCTGGGTATTTCTTCTAACTTACTGGAGTCAAAGTTCAGCGCTAATGGGAAGGAGAGACATAGAAGAGACAAGGACACGTTCCGTTTGTCCGTCCCCAGGCCTCCCTGAGCCCAAGGTGTGACACCTTGCTCTGGCCTGCCTGGAAGTGACACCTGAAGGAGCTAACGCAGGAGCATGCTCGTGTCTGTGACACATGCGTGGCTGGGTCCCTGCTGGACAGGACTCCCTGAGTCCTGGGAAAGAGCTGGAGAAGGAACAACCGGTGGGAGGGGACTGGGAGATGCCTGGAGCTCTGCAATGTCCCTGCACACGAATCTTTATTTAGCACTTCCATGCAGCAGGTCCTGGGAATACCCAGCAGACAAAGGCTGCCCTCTCAGAGCTTACCTATGAACATGAACAAATAAGCAAATACCCAGAAAGTCAGATGCTGCTATGTCCCGTGGAGAACATAAAGCAGGTTATGTAAGGTGGAAAGTGCTGGGTGAGGGCCAGTTTTGTGTTGGGTGGTCAGAGAAGGCCTCACTGACCCGAAACAAGTAAGGACATGAGATGGGACAAACGGGGAAGGCTATTTCAGGCAGAGGAACAACAAGTGCTAATGTCCTGGGGCAGAAGTAGAGCTGACATGGCCCACGAAAAGCTCTTTCTCCTCTGCCATGCCTTCTGCCTTGGAGCCAGCTGACTTTGGACTGAAACTTCTACAGACTGTGAACTAAACAAACCGTTCCTCCTTAGAGTTGTGGTGTCAGGTATTTGGTTCCAGCAATGAGAAAGTAACTAGGAATCTCTCTCTATATATCTAGATATATTTCCATACATATTTAAAGAATGGAATAAGCCAGCTTTTCATGTCCAGTGGGAAGGAATATTTTATCACTGACATCATTTAGAATTGCTGGTGTGTGGTCATAAAAAGCAGACTGCCTTTATTTTGTTTTAGTGTTTTCAAATCCTCTGTAGACAGCGTACCCCTTGGAATCCAGGATGGACCCTCCCTTCCCCCTTGTTCCCCCTCTGTCTGCCCACATATCGATCTTGTTAACTACTCTGTGAGACCAGGGCTTCTCACCTGTCAAATGGAAGTAATGATGGACAAGTGACAGGCATTGTCTGATGATATCATATGAAAACATTCTGTAGGGCCGGGGATTTAGCTCCGTGGTTCCGGCGCCTGCCTTGTAAGTGCAAGGTCTGGAGTTAGATCCTGGTACCAAAAAAAAGAAAAAGAAAACATTCTGTAAACTCTGTACTGCAGTGGAAAATGTACGGAATTATTAACTACCGATTATATTGTAATTGCTTATGTTATAAGCAGTTATTCCCCACTGGCCAGCTGAATGGACTAAGTCAACAGGGCTCTGTGATCATCATGAGAAGGCAAAGGCCAGGGTCAGTCAACACATATTCTGTTGTTTGTTTATTTGAGGTCCTGCTCAAGTTCCATTCAGAAACAGTTCCTCATACACGGAAACTGGGTACACAGATAGGGATCCCTGACTTTTTACTTCATTGAGGAGCTAGTGACCTAGGTGTAGAGTCACAATTGACAAAAAACAGTAGAGGGAAATTTGTGTGCAAAGTAGGCTGGTGCCCAAGGCAGAAAGGACACTCTCTGTGGACAGAGATCCAAACATTCAGCAGGAAGAATGACTTTTATCCCCAAAGGATTCTTGTTTTTATGAAAGGGTGCATTTCAGACTTTGTGAAAAATAGGAAGCTCCTGTTAATGTATCCGAAAATATATTTCTGGACATACATGTTAAAAATGGAATTTATTGGATCACCGATATCCCCTGGAAACATTCCAACCGGGGGCAATCTTGCTGCTCAAGGAAAGAGAGCACACTCAGAAGCCCTCATGGGTTGGATGGGCACTACGTAGGGCTCAGCATCTGCACACGCCTGACACTCCCGCCTCCTCCCTCCCGCCTTTGCCAAGCCATTAGTCTCCTTGGCAGCCCCATCTGTCCCTCCCTTACTGGAGTGCACTCCTGCTCTGTCTGTCCTCCCTCTCTGTTCCCAAGGCTTTAACACTACCTGTTTGCTGATGCCTCTGAAATCCACCTCTCATACTGCTACCTCTAACTACCTCCTGGACTTCTCCTTTTGGGCATATGGTGGTCACAGCACCACTCATGAGCAGGAGGAGCATTTGTGTAGTTTTCACAATGTGCCAGACACATTGCACGTGTGTCCTAGACAGTGACCTGTATAATCCTAATGTCTGCACTTGAGGAAGATACTACGTTGTCTTAAGAAATGAACAGAGAGGCAAGGCAGCTTTGCCAAGATGCAGTAAGATGGCTAAGCTAGCTGAGCTGAGCTTGAGAGCCTGGGTCCTTACCACAATGTATCCTGGACCTTGTGTGCTTACACTCAACACACGGGAAGCAGAAAGTGCCTGATGTCCCCATGTGATTCCTGCGTCAGCCTCATCTGTTCGCTTGACCAAGGTGCAATCTATGCACCATCTTGTTTTTCTTGTTTTTTTTTTTTTTTTTTTTTGGTACCAGGGATCGAACTCAGGACCTTGTGGGGCAGGCAGCAGCACCACTGAGCTAAATCCCCAGCCCTTAGAATTCTTGTCTTCTGACTCCATTCTAAGCAGCTCCCTCACCAAATCCTATCACTTCTACATATTTTAAAAACCTGGTCGATTGCCTCTTTATCTTCTCCAATCTATTTTCCATAGGGCAGTTGGTGTTCTTAAAAAAAAACAACAATCTGATCTTTCCTCTTTTTGACTGCTCAGCAAACCTTTAATAGGGTCCCACTGTCTCTTAAATAAATCCAAACTCAACTCAGCCCACAAGGCCCTCTGTGATGCGACCGACACAACCCACTTCCGCTGCCTTGTCTCCCCTCTCCGCCTCTTACTCCCCTCCCTTCATCTTGCTTCCTGTCCTCACTGGGCCTTTACCCAAGTTCTTCCCTCTGTGTGGGACCCCTTTCCCTCTCCTTCCATCAGAGCTCAAGTCCCGAATGACCAGCCCTGATGGGCCTGTCTGCTACTTGGTCTGGGTCTCCCTGTCACTTTTATAGTGGAACATTCGTCACACTCAGTGTAGGTGTTCTTCTGAAGTCTACATTTCCAGTCGCACGAGAAGAGGGTCCGCGTCTACCATCTTCAACTCTGTGTCCCAACTGTTGGGTATCAAGCCAGGTGCATAGTAGACCATCAAGAAATATATGCAGAGAGAATGGATGCAGAACCATTTGGAGGAAAAAATAGGGGCCATAGTATCAAATTCCTCCATATTTTATGTAATTCTCTTAACCATTAGCTTTATTGAGATAGAAATAACATGCCATCTAATTTACCGATTAAAATATAAATTCCTTGATTTTAGTATATTCACAGAGCTATACAACCCCTGCCACAATCAACTTTAGAACATTTTCATCATACCCAAAAGAAACTGCCTCATTAGCCTCCCAGTGCCCTTTGTGTTATCATTAAAGACAAAAAGCTTAACATGTGCGGAGTGTTTTATAGTTAACAAAATTTTTCTTGTGGGCTCAGTGACTCTCAAAAGAGTTCTGCGAGGTGGGCATTTTAAAGCAACTTTCACTAGGGTTCAACTTCAGCGTGGAGTGGACCTCTAGCGAAGAGAAAGCTTACTCTGGAGGGAAGGGCAGGGCAGTGGAGGTGGCCACTGGGTATGGAATGTCACTTCTGCAGTGGCATGGTCCCGGGTTCTGTGTGGGTGGTGTTCAGTCTGGACCTGCTAGGCTGCTGTAATCTGCGTCATGTTGAGTGTGGAAAAGCCAATTAGCCGGGGGATGCAGGAGGGAGAGAAATAGTGCTTAAAGCAGATGGCTTTTGAAATAATGATGCTGCTGCTGCTGGTCATGCATGATCTGAATTTGAATCCTGATTCTGCTGCTTACTACAACTCGGTGACTGTGGGCAGATTAACTGACACAATCTCCAATTCCTTTATTTGAAAACAGTATCTAGAGTATCTTTCTTGTGAGGTTATTGTGATAATTAAATGAGTACAGGCAGAGCAGCTGGTACATAGGCCGGAGCTCAATAAATGGTAACACATTACATCACTAATGCCGAGCAGATGTGCAGAGATAATACTGCGTAATTACCGAAGTGGTAACTCATTGTCACCCGGGTCATAGTGAGACAGATCCACTCCAGCACTGCCAGTGTCTTCAGGTAAAAGGGGCTTTCTGAAAGCGGAAGGTCAGCGCGGTTCAAGAGCACAGAGACAGCTTCTCTTAGCTTAGATATCTGTTCGGGAACTCAGTGTTTACCATGGGGAGATCATCTAAATCAGGCCTCTCCCCCAGTCAGCGGGCACTGAGGGTCCATGCCAGTGCTGCCTGCCCTCCTGCAGCACCAGAACCAGCTCAGGTGGTTCAGCCAAGCAAGGTATCAGGCAGCTATTAAAAATATTTGAAAACTCTGGGGTCAGGGATTGAGCTCAGTGGTTTCGCTGCCTGCTGCGCAAGAGCAAGGACCTGAGTTCAATCTCTGGTACAAAAAATGTATATATATATTTGAAAACTCTGCGTGTGGAGAGACCCAAATTCACCCTGGCAGAGCAGGAACAGATTAAACAAGCAAAGCCCCAGCCTGTAGGGGAGCCCTCTAGACCTGTTCAGGACCCTAGTTTCATCTGAAGCGCATAGGAAGCCCCTGGAAATTACGGACTCATTCATTCATTCATTCTGGAGTGTGCAAGGCCCAGAGCATTCTAGCCAAGTCCTGTACCACTGAGCCACATCCCCAAAATCCACTACAAAACTCTGAGCAGAAAGTGACAGTACCAGAAAACTGGGGACTTAAAAAGCTCATTTTTTTGGTACTGGGGATTGAACTCGGGTCCTTGCGCTTGTGAGGCAAGCATGGTAGGTGCTGCTCCACTAAAGCCCCGGCCCCAAAAGCTCACTCTTTATAACAATTTGGGAAACTATTTCCTAAAATGCAAGCGTATAGATAGAGCGTGATGCAACATGGATTGGGGTGATTGAATAGTGAGAAAGGGTTTTTTTTCCCCTTTTCCAAAAATTCCCTAATCTTATCGACACATCATTCCTCACCTAAAAATCAAAGAGAAAATTGATGGTCCTGCAAAGAGCAGCTTTGCTCTCCCACAGATGTCGGGCACATTACGCAGCGGGTGCTCGGGAGGGAAGCCGAGTCTTGTGAAATTCACGAGGAGATGGAATGGAGAACAGGGAGGAGGTGAGTGTTATCGACCCCTCCATCTGAGGCCCCTTCTCCACCAGGTGATAAACTATCAAAAATAGCTTCCTGTTGCTGTCTCCGATGTTACAACTTCATTTATCACTGTTCTGATCTCCCCTTGCATCCTACCCTTGGGGCTGGAGTCTGTCAGCTCAAAGCAAAGGGGGCCCTGCCACACAGGGCTTGGCAGAGAGGGCACTGGACCCAGACTTCAGCGAGGAGTCCAGTGCGGATCCACTCCGAGCAGGAGTGAGCCAGGTGGCTTTGCTGGCAAATAGCCTTCTCATTCTTGCCAGTGATTGCGTGCAGTCAGGTCAGTGGTCACGGGTCACAGGACAGGCACGCCAGTCCACTTACTCACTGATCCACACCACACGTGTGTGCTGAGCACCTATTAGCTATGCACAGCACCGGGCAACAGGGATGCAGAAAAGACACAGGTCCCAATGACTCGAAAGCTGCTGTTTAAGGCAGGGTAGTGGACGGCACAAAACCATGGGATTTTAGAGCCCAACAGATGGTTGCGTGTGTAGCTCTGCAGTAGCACATGGGCGTAGCATGTGCAGGGTCCTGGGTTTCATCCAAGCATCAACAAATAAATAAAATTCCTTATAATAATGCACAAGGGAAATGTGGTCCAGAGAGGACAAATGCCTCAGATCCAAGGGGACTTTCTGCCAAACTGTGATGCCTTTACTGGCTTCTGACAAAGCTGGTGGCTGTGCCCGACACCATCACTTAGCACACGGGGTGGCATGCCCCCTTGTAGTCCCCAGTCAAGTGAGGAGCTCTAAAATCATATGTGGAGGAGCTGAAATATATAAAATATGTTCAAAGACCCCACAGTGTGAGCTCTGAGCAGTGTCACAGCAGGTTCTGGTCGCATGGTGGTCACGGGAAGAGGAGACCAGTGCATCTGTCACACAGTCAGGTCGCTGGCCCTGGGTCATGGGAAGAGCAAGCCAAGAATCTTGACTTTGTTTCCACAAGTTAACTGGAGCTCAAGGTGGAGCTCTTGGCTGAGTCTGGGGTGGAGGAAATCACCCTGTGTTCTCCTGAGTTCTCAAGGTCTCAAGGATAAAAGTCTCCTCCTCACGAGGTGCTTGGATTACAGGCAGCACCACTGTGCTCTGCGAGGGCTCCACATTCTTTTGTTTTTTTGTACCGGAGTTTGAACTCAGGACCTTGAACTTGCAAGGCAGGCGTAGTGCCACTGAGCTAAATCCCCGGCCCAGGGCTCCACATTCTTAACATAGGCCACGTGAAGGACAGAAAACTGCAGCCAGGGACAGGGTCCTGGGGCTGCAGTAATCGATGGGGCTGAAAACCCTGTAGAGGACTCAGCCCAAGAAGTAGCTTTCCCACTTGAGGGTTTAGCTGGAGATTCCCAAAGAACCTAAAACCAACCTTCCTTCCTCTGCTGACAATGTCGAATAAACTAGAAGCCATTTTCCGTTCATCCATTTGAGGCTTAATGGCAAAGTCATTCTTGAAAAATTATCCTCATCTGGCTCTGCATTGCACACGCACTCAGCCTCCAGCTACATCATGCATAGATTCAGAGACAGCCGAGTCCGAGCGGTCTTGGCTAGTAGCTAGAGATTTGCCTGCTTTCTACAGAGAAGCTGTCCAGCCCGTCCATGGAAGTGAACTCCAGTATCAAGACAGTCCCAGAGCTGGGACTTGTACCTGGGCCTCTGGACTCCTCCTCCTGTGCATTTGCTGTACTTAAACATGTGCACACACAGAGAGTGAGGACTGGGGATCTGTCCCATCTGCACAAGCTGCACTGGCGGTTTTATCTGCCCTTGGCCTGCTCCTTTCAGCTGAGATCGCTATCTGACTCCAGAGGGCCACACTGCACCGCCCTGTTGGAAATGATGAAACATCGGTGACTTCAGCAGCAGAGGAGGGTCCTGGTGGGGCTGCAGGGGGAGGTTTCCATCAAGACTTCGCTGAAACACAGGCTGGGCTCAGACCTTGCCCATGGCCCCAGAGGTGAGTAGGTGGGGTGTTTTAGTACTGGCTAAGAAGCTGGGATTTTAAGCTAATTTGAAGCATGTGCTTTTGTGGGTATGGATGTGTAGAAGTTTCAGACAGGATTCTCCCTTTCTGTCAAGATTTCAGGATATGCGATTCAGTTTGCAGTGAGCTCGGAGGGAGCCTGAGATTCAGCAGTCTGACTTTGCAGACATTAATCTTGTGTTTCCGAGATCTGAGATCTGCCTGCATAAGCAGCAGTGGCCCTCAAGGCTCCAGCTAGAAGGTGCATGGATTTCGCATCCCAAAAAACATGGTTTCAAATTCCCACTCTGCTGAACTGTATTGTGCCTCAGTTTCCTCATCTATAAAAACGGGTATAAGAACACCTACCTTACAGGGTTGCTACAAGGATTCAGACACATACCCATGGTGCCAGGACAGCCCTTGATCAGTAGCTGCAGTTACTTTTTTTTTTTTGGTAAAGGGGATTGAACTCAGGTCCTTGTGCTTTCGAGGCAGGTGGCAGAACCACTGAGCTAAATCCCTGGGCCAGTAGCTGTTACTTTTTAAGTCAACTGGAAACCAGATCCTGGAGAAAGTCTCCCCATAGGAAGGTTTTCCTTAAGATTTGTTCTGAGCCACAAAAGGCAGGAAGGATAAGACCCAGGAGTTTTAAATGTGATGCATGAAAAGTCAGAAACTGAATCCTGTCCAAGAGAAAAGCCATGCACACGTCCAGGCAAGGAAATAGCACCAGCACAGGGGAACATTTCCCCTGGAAACGAAGCTGGCTGTGCCGCACACTGTCCCGGGAGCTTTGCTTAGATGGACTCATTTGATCTTCACACCTAAGTAAGTTGGGGCAATGACTGGCTTTTGTTTACACTGGGGAAACTGAGGCTGCCAAGTGTTAAGTGACTTGACCGAGTCCACAAGAGGAAGCTCTTCAGAGGACACTAGCACAGAAGAGCAGCCTGAGACCAGCCCTTTCTCCCTATCTCCCAGCCTGGGAGGGGCTCAGACAGCACAGTGCTCAACTCGGAGGCCCAGACCAAGGCTTGCTGACTGGCCAGCCTTGCTCCTTGTGCCCAGTGTGTGGGCCTCACTGAGTGCTGGCGATTCCACCAGTGCGAGCCCTTGAGCAGGACTGGCTGCACAGCTAGAGAGACTCAGCCCAAAATGAAAGTCTGGGCTCCCATGTACAAAAATTATTGAGAATAACCAGAAAGTATCGAGGCAGCCACGGGGCCCTTGTGAACACAGGGCCATGCCAGGCTGCAAACCCAGCAACCAGCACAGCCCTGCATCCAACAACAAGGCAGGGAAGGTGCTAGAACATTCTGTGGTCCCTGTAACCTTCTTGATGGCCCCGTGAGGGGGACATTCGACCCCCCAATTATTAAGTATTGAGTGGCTCTCCCAGGTCAAGCAGTGTTTCTTAGGTAAGAATTGATCCAATTGACACTTGCTCAGAGTTCTAGCCAGCTTCCTCCTATACAGAATGTCCAAAAGTCTGTTAGGAGTTACGGGCTATAACATATGGACAAGCCACCAAAGAACTCACAAACTGAGCATGATCTGTAGAAGGTGCTTAGTGTCCCTGAAATGAGTCGGCTGATCTCTGAAATGTAGTGGACCAATCTAGGAAATGGCTAATAACTATTTTGCTGTCTCCCACAAGTCTCCAGTTTCACCTGGAAGTAGCACGATGAATCCATACATTCTGCCCCCGGTGCCTGCCATTCTTCGTACCCTTGCTGATTTAGTCTCACAGTTAACTTGCATTCAGCTCAAGGAATTTCTGGCCAAAATGCTTTCCCAAAACTTACTAATGAGAGGGGCTGGGGATTTAGCTCAGTGGTTCCACTGCCTACCTCGCAAGCACAAGGTCCCAAGTTTGATCCCCAGTACCAAAAAACAAAAAACAAAACTTACTGATGAGAAATGCTGGGTGGCTTATTTTTCTCCTAAAGAAACTGCATCAAGACATAAGCATGACTAGGGATGTGGCTTGCCTTGCTGAGACTCAAAGTTGCCTTTTCTGGGTAATTGAAGTCTCATCCTTTATGTTCATTTTGGACCCGTGGAATTCTAGAACAGTGAAATGTCAGAACTAAATCTGTTTAGCCCATCTCACCCCCATTTTATAGACAGGGAAACTGGGGCTTGGTGCCCAGCATGACTGGTTTATAAAGCTGCCAAATGGGGAAGCTCATCTTGTTCTCATTTCGTTTTCCAGATGTTTCCTCATCACCTGGGGTAAGGCCCCTGACATGGTGGCCAGAGCCAGGGAGAATCCAGAGAAGATTTCTCTGACACCCAGCACAAAGGTGACCCCTAACTTCTGCCACCCCCTTCCCCATGGCATCTGGTAGACCCTGTGCCTCCCTGCCCTAGCTGAGTACTTCCATTACCTCTGTCCCCTCTGAGTGCACATGCTGGTAAGGGCTAGGGTCGTCTCAGACCCCATAACTGTGCACTGGGCTACGTGCACCCCCCTTGGAGATGTGCCCGAGCTGCTATGGATCCAGCGCAGGGCTGGACCCTTGGCTCCACCTGCGGCTCATCCCTCTGAGCACCATGCGCTCTCCATGTGGCACGCTGAAGTCTCCGCCAACTCCCCCACCCCGGGCTGGATTTCTGTTCCTCATGGGGGGCACTGGAGCCCAGCTTTGTCTCTAATGTGGAGAATAGTAATGTCCACCTCTGGAGGCTGTTATTTGGAGGCTTAAATAAGAGAATTCAGGCAAAATGTTTTTCACAATTTGCATGCATAGAAAACACTCACATGGTTTAAAAAAAGAAAGGTCCATCCTTATTTCATGGATGTAAATGCTGAGGCTGGAGGGGTAAACACCTTACAGCTAGGAAGGCTGGAGCCGAAGTCCCAAATCCTGATCACCAGGTCCTGCTCCTGGCTGCTCTCCTGTACTTCCTGCCAGGAGGTCGCTTTGCAGACCTGACAGCTTCTCACTTTGTCTTATCTGCACAAGGTGCAATCTAAGCCACACTTTGTTGAGAATGCCAGTTCCTCTAAGGCTGTGCTCCTCTGCCAGGGTCAGCTGTGCCCTGAGCTGTGGTGTTCGTCTCCCCTCTCCCTCACCGGGTTCTTTGCCTGGGCTTCTTCTCTGCTTCTTCATTCTGCACATGTTCACATTTCAATCTTCCAAGAACAGCACGAGCTCTGGAAAGCACAGACGTGCCCCTTTCTTCATGTCATCCGAGTGTTTCACCCGCAACGGTGCGCGTGGACCCCTCACTAAGTACTGGATCAGCTGAGACGCTGACACTCAGGGGGCTGCCTCAGTGTTCTGTTAACACGGGGAGTTCAAATTCACCAGATGAACTAGGTGTCAGGCTAACCTACAGCAGGAAATCCAGGCTTGATTAAATGTCTAAAACTTGCCTTGAGTATAGTTAATACAACGTATGGTATTATTGAACATTACGAAGAGAGTAAATTTTGTTTGTTTTTTGAGACAGGGTCTCACTATGTAGTTCAGGCTGGCCTTGGACTCACTGCGATCCTCCTGCCTCAGCTTCCCAAGTGCTGGGATCACAGGTGTGCGTCACCATGCCTGGCAAGAGAATAAATTTTAAGTGTTTTCAGCACAAAAATTAAAGTATGTGAAGTAATGCATCTATTAATTAGCTAGATGTAGCCATTTACATATATATTATATAAAATTTCAAAAACGCGTATATAAAAACAATATATATTTTTTTTGTTAATTAAAATATTAATTTAGGAGCTGGGGGAATAACTCACTGGACATGCTTTAAAGCCCTGTGTTCAAGTCTCAGCACCAAAAAAAAAAAAAAAAGCAAAACAAAAAACCCCAAAATTCAATCAGGGCAAAAACATTTTAATTAATGAACACAGTTTTTCTTTTTTTCTTTTCTTTTCTTTTTTTTTTTTTCGGTACCAGCGATCGAACTCGGGACCTTGTGCTTGCGAGGCAGGCACCAGAACCACTGAGCTAAATCCCTGGCCCCACTGTTTTTCTTGATAGGAAAAAATGCATATTAATTCCTGAAAATTTTGAAAATCACAGAAAGTATAGAGACTGAAATAAAACATAATCTACAACCCTAACAACTAGTTTTGCTAACACTTAGGCATATTTTTTTGGCCATTTTCCTCTATGAGCAAACTACATTTAAATAACATCCCGAATTTGTTTTCCATAAATTTGTATCTGTGAAGAAAGTCTGTATCTGAGAGACAAAATTGTTGTTAAAGAGCTCTTCTGGATTTGGTGAGCTGGTCAGGTAAATGAGGTAGTTTTTACAGAGGTGGGCATAGTCATGTGCTGCTAATGCAAGGGCAGTCTACCTTTCTGCATACTGATTCGTTTCTCTACATGAATTCTTCCTAAATGTAATTTTAAATTTGATGCTGTAAGTCCAATTTATTTAGCTTTTGTTTTTTAGACTGTTTCTCATTTTTAAATTTTACATTGTTTATTTTTAATAAGTGAGACTGCATAGAACTCTTTTGCAATAATAACTTTGGTCCTGTTCTGTGTTGTTTATAAATTTTCTTTTCTTCATCGTTTCGTTTTGTTTTGTTTTGATTTTGTTTTTATTTTTGAGACAGGATCTCACTGCGTAGCCCAGACTGGCCTCAATTTCATGGCAATCCTCCTACCTCAGCCTCCCAAGTGCTGGGATTATAGCATGTGTACCACTCTTGGCTGTGTACAAATTTTCTGTTCTATATCCTTTATCCATTTACCGTTTACAGCTTTCTTACAATATACAAGCGGTGATTGAAAATACAGTGACTGTTTAAATGTTTTAAAAGTTATCACAGTAAAAGACACATTGCCATTAATCCCTTGAGAAAATATTTCCCCTCACTTCAAATACAATTATTCTGTCATTCTTGCCACTTTGTGAAGCGGTTCTGGAAGCCCTTTCTTGTGTCTTTACAGGGTATAATAAAAAATACAGTTAATATTGCTGCTGAATGCCATCCAACAGAAAGGTAGCTCATAAAAACGTTAGTGTGTCCACATCCACCTTATTCACTGGATGTTGCATCATACGACTTGTAGTTCTTCCCCAAAGTGGAAATGACCAGGAAAGGTAGAGTTTGAAATGAGTTAAGACATCGAGGCAGCCATGACGGCAAAACTATAAACACTCACAAAAGAGCACCCCGAGAGCTGCCTCCAGAAAGTGGCCAGAGCGATGGGATAAGTGTGTTCGAAGAGAGGGAGAGTATTTTTGAGGGGGATTAGTAACAATGTGCCTTTTACTGTAATAAATTTTGTTTTAGTTTAACACAGGCCATATTTTCTTTATCACATCTCATATGTTAAAAAAAAGATGTAAACTCCAAAATTTTGGTTTGGCAAACTTGTTCCAGGTTTTTTATCTGATCACCTTTATATTTTGTTTAACATATGAAGCTCTAATATTTTTAGAGCCAATCTATTTTTTCAAGTATTCTTTTGCACATTAACTAGAAAGTTTTCATTTATTTTGAAATTTAATAAATATTATTAAATTTATGAATATCCAATTCCATTTCCTTGTCATTTTAATGGCTCAATTTGAAAATATCTACCTCCTAAATCCCTTTGTAATTTCTTTTGTTATCTAGTGTCTTCATCTAGGTTATTTTCTCTTTCCTTATGGGAAGCTAACCCATTCTCCTGTTTGCAGCGTTTCTTAAATAATGCTTTTTTTTCCTTTCACCTCCCTTGTGAACCACTTTGTGATATGTGTATTGTACACACTGGCATATTTTAAAGCCCACTCTATTCTTTAAAAGCTCTAGTCAAGAACCTACCTCATCACAATTCCTTTCCAAACATCTTTTTGCTTCTTTATTTTTATTATTCTCCTCCCCCCCAAAAAAATTAGAACAATTTTGAGTTAAAAAAATCTCACTGTAATTTTTTTTTCTGGTACCAGGAATTGAACTCAGGACCTTGCACTTGCCAGGCAGGTGTGACACCACTGAGCTACATCCCCAGCCCCTGTAATTTTGATTGGAATTATATTGAACCAATAAATTAAGTTTGAAAGTTATTTTTAAAAGTGTCATAGCTTCACAATTTGAAGCATCGTATGTCTTTTTTGACTCTCAGTAAATTTTTGTTATTTTCATCAGAATAATTTTCATGGAATTAAGACTATTTAGATATTTTTCTTGTGGTGGGTGCTAATCTCATGGGATTTTTAAACCATTTTGTTTTCTGATCATTGCTAGTATAGTAGAAAAAAGGACTCAAATTTTAGACTATTTATCCATGGGACTTATTGAACAGACTCATTGATTCCAATAGTTTCCAATAGAATTTTTAGGTATAAAATCACATAATTTTCAAGTAAGGATGGATTTGATTTTCCCCCACCAAAAACTATACCTTCATTCTTTAGCATATTGCATAACAGCTCAGGATCCACACCAGCCTGCCTGGGCACAAAGCCCCATCACCTCTCTTTGACACCTTGAGCATGGAAGGTAACCTCTCTGTGCATTCATTTTGTCCTCTGATAGTGGACATAATGGTAATATTAACCTCTCAGGGGTTGTGAGCATTAGATGAGTTAATACATATAAAAGCAGGGCCAGGGATTTAGCTCAGTGGCACCGTGCCTGCTTTGAAAGTTCAAGGTCCTGAGTTTGATGCCAGGCACTGGAAAAAGGAAAAAAAAAATATATATATATATATATTTATATATATTTTATATATAAAAGTGTCTGCCACATAGAACATATTTAATAAATATTCTGTTCCCTTACAGTTATTATTGGAGGTTGGAGGAACCTCCAACTTCTAGCAATTAGAACTTCTCAGACTCATTTCTTCAAGTGGTTACATCACACATCCTGGCTCTCAGATAGCTACTGAAGTATTTTGCCATGTAGTAAGATACTTATTGGTGAAAGGTGGATATTCTTTATTACAGTAAGAAATAATTCTCATGCTTTTACTTTATTAATTTAATCAGAAATAAGTGCTTGAATTTATCAAGTCCTTCTGGGCCCTTTACGTTGGGTCTATGGATGTCATATTTATAGGACTCAAGAGGCAGGTGCCTGGAGCAGTTGGGATGAGGGCTTTGGCTCACACAGCCTTTGAAACCTGATTCCCCCCTCAGGGACTGAGACAACTGCTCAGCCTCTCTGAGCCTCATCCCTCACCTATGAAAGGTGGTCACGCTCCCTTAGGGTGAGAGGAATAAAGCGTGGAGTTGCGGGGATACTCAGCGGTGGCTTTCATTCTTGTAACAGTTGATTTTTTCCACATGCCTGGGCTAATTTCTTCATATGATCATATATTTACCTCTGTGTTTATAAGTGAGATGAACCTGGAGAATTTCCCATGTTTTTCTGTGCCCTAACTTCATTTATGTTTTGTAAGAATTATTTATTCCTTAAAATTTTGAAGTAATTCACTTGTAAAACCATTTAGAACAGATTTTGGGGGTGACAACTCTGATACATTTTTAATTTTAAAATAATAATATCTATCATTTACTCGACGCTTATTACTACATTCCAAAGTGATAAGAATTATTTTACATACTTTATCATCCTCAGAAGAAAGTATTGGGGCTGGGGATGTATAGCTCAGTGGTGCCTCGCCTGCCTGGCAAGCCCAAGGTTCTGAGAGTTCAATCCTTGGTACCGCAAAAAAAAAAAAAAAAAAAAAGAAGAAGAAGAAGCAAGTATCATTTATTTTTCCCTTATTTAATCCTGAATTGCTAAATTGCCCAGGCTGGGCTCGAACTTGGAATCCTCCTGCCCCAGCCTGCCAGGGTGTTGGGATTACAGGCCTGTACCACCATGCCCAATAATTCCTATCTTACATATAAGAAGACTGGGGCTTTGAGAAGTTAAATAGGCTCATGCAAAGATTTCTTACCAAACTTCATTCTCATTGTTCTGATTTGGTTTGATTTTGGTTCTGTTTTCTGAGCCTTGTGAAATCAATTTTTGCTAATTTATATTCTATAATAATTTATATTAATTTATAAAAGGAAAATATTCCTTGTATTGAGATTTCATCAATCTTAGTAGTCTCACAATTTTTTATCTCTCCTGTTTCTGTGGTTAAATTCCCTGGGTCACTACTTTGACTTATTTGCAATTCATGCTTTTCTTGGTCATTTGAAACTAGGTATGAAACAGGGGAGAAAAGTATTGGAGTGTGGAGGGTGAGAGAGACTGGTGATACCACACAGTGACATGAAGGTTGTTTTCTCTGAAGTCTTCCACTTCCACCCATTTTTGTTTTTCTTTTCCTCCCCCCCCCCCCCCCCGCCCCAACATTTAAAGAAGAAAATACTAGGGACTAGAAAGAGCCTTAGGAACATTGTCAAGCTCCCTAATTCACCACTTCCTGGAGAGCACGTGTGCCGTCCGAGTCCGAGGCCACGTTGTTAGCAGATGGCAGAGCCAGAGAAGCTGGGCCCCACCAGACTGTTCTGTCTTTTGCTATTCTTCCAAAGCTAACTTTAGAGACAATAAATTAATTTTAAAAGATGGATAAAGTCGGATACCGACATTGATTGTGATTCGTTTAATCCATACAGTTTCCATAGGATCCATCTCTACGCTGATCCCACTTTAAGCCGTTCTTTGTAGAATTCATCCATCCAGAGAAAACGAGTGTCAGGCAGAGAAGGGAACGTCTTCTTACTCCACCTCTGACACTAGGCTGCACCACGGGGAGGGCCGTGAGAAGGCCCCTTCCCGAGGGCAGAGGGACACCGATACGACAGAATCCAGCCTTAACCACGAGCGTGAGGCAGACGGAGAAAATGCTTTCAGTGCAGAGTAGGGGCCGTGGTGTCCACAGTGAGGACGGCAGGACAGTCCCCAGCTCTGCAGTGGGAGGAGGATAACAAACTCTCACGTGGGCGGGGACTTTTTCCTGACATAATTACCTGACACTGCTCACTTCCCACTTGGGGTGTGGGGGTGTGGGGGTGTGTGTGTGTGTGTGTGTGTGTGTGTGTGTGCAGCTGTCCCTGCTGACTGCCTCCTCAGCAGCCTGCAATTAGACCTCAAGAGACAGACAGCCTGTTCATGGTAGTTAGGGGGCACTTGCCACTTCATTAAGGTTATCTGTCATAATTTTCCCCCTCTTCCTCTTCTAGATGTTATCTCCAAACTATATTCGGAACAAATGTCCACGTCTCCTAAAATAGAACAACCCATTTTTTTGGCGGTGCGGAAATTGAGCCCAGGGCTTTGCACATGCCAGGCAAGGGTTTTACCCTGAGCTACGCCCTCAGTCTCCCCAACAAGCTAACTTTTCATAGCTGTACCCTGCTCACCATCACAGTGGGGGATTTTTAGAGTTGAATCGTCCCTAATAATTATCAAGCGCTTCCCATGTGCCTGGCATTGTATAAAGGTCTACAAATAAATCTCGAGCCACACAAGAACTCTGTGAGGGCAACATTACCCTTCTCTCCACTTTACAGATACGGAAGCAGGCGCTGTGAAGTTCCATGATTTACATCTAGAAGGGGACAGAACTGGGATCTGCATTTAGGTCTCTTTAACTATACCACTATATACTGCTCTCATTTGACCTAGCTGCTGTATATCATTTGGCCAGTAAAATGTAGCTTCGTACTAAAATGGTGGGAGGAAGTTTAGGTGATGTAGCCAAAATAAGATACTAGTTTTAAAATAATGGGACATTTATTGCACATAGTGATTTTCAAAAGGGAGAAAGCTTTCTCCTTCAAGGGACATTTAGAAACACGTGGGGTCATTTACTTGGTTGTTAGGCTGACCTGTCACCTTGGCGGGTTTCCAGAATGCCCTACGTGCTGTGGGAATACAACAGTGCTAGGCGACCAGGACTTGTAGGGTGCCACGGGTCAGACAGTGCTGAGAAACACCAGTGGAGTGGAGTACAGAGTCTCCCTATCTGCAGCTCCTGCGACCGTAGATTCAAGCCACTGCAAATAGAAAATACTCAAATCACAAACAGTGTCTGTACTGAAACAGGTACAGACTATTTTTTTCTTGTCATTGTTCCCTACATAATATAGTAAAACAACTACTTTCTTTCCCTGGAAATAAGACCTAGCCAGAAAATAATCAGCCTTGAAAACTAGAGATCAGAGACACCAGCCCCAGGCAGCCTCTTGGCCTTTGCACAGCGCAGTGAGCAGGACCGGGTCTCCTCTAGGCGGGGTGGGGAAGCCCCATGGCGCTGAGGCTCCCAGGTGACCTTGAGGTGCCCCTTGGCACTGCAGTGGTGGGGCTGGGGGGACACAGAAGGGCTCCATCACAGACAGGAAGGGAAACTCTGCAACCGAGGACATTCTCGCTTTTTATCCCCTCTCCACCCATCCCATGTGCTGGATCTATAGAAAGCAAAGGACCCCTGCCTGGATCCTGGTCCACTTTTACACATCACATTAAATAGGACTCTTTGGGAGTGATGATGATGATAATGATGGTGGTGGTGGTGGTGGTGATGCACTGTGTTCATCTGAATGAAACACATGGGCAGATGGGCGTAGGTGCTTAGGGAGAAGGGTCTCCAACTGATCACGTAAGAAAGGGAGGCCTAAGTCCGCAGGCCGGACAGGGTGGGCATGCTCTGCTCGAAGCTTTTGCCTTCCTTCCAAAGGAAGGCGTGCCCCAGGAATACCTGTTAGTCGAGTGAAAGGTGTGGGGAGATCGAGCTATCTTCTCCCTGGAAACATCCAGCTGACCCTTCCTCACTATTACCTTCCCTTCTCTCTAGTTTGACTTATTTGGTCCAAGTTTTGATGCTAAGGAGCCTGTGTGAGAACTAAAATTAAACACACAGTTTCCAGGCTGCCTCACATTTCCCTTCACACTCGGAAGCCCTGATTGGGAAAAGAAGCGTTCATGGCAGCCAAGTGTTTAGGTTCCTGGTCTGCAGCAGGAGGGAGGTGGGTGGGTCCCCACTGTCTCTGCCCACTGACTGCCATCTCACCTTATAGAAAACTCCACATTCACCCACTGGTCGATGGAGCCCATGCACCGATTTTTTAAATAAATACTTTGTAAGGGGGTAGGAGCATCCGATGTCCTAAGCTCATGGAGGCTGTGTGGGGTGAGTGTGTGTGTGTGTGTGTGTGTGTGTGTGTGTGCGTGTGCAGTTAAGACCTGAGCTTTTCAGAGAATCTGCACCGTGCTCCATGCTCCAGTAGGAGCTTGAGTCTGTAGACACCAGTGATGCTCCCCTGGGGTGAGATCAATGGTTGAGAGCGTGTGGGCTTTGGACCTCGCGCTCCAAGCCAGGCCTGCCCGTTTGCCAGCCATGTGGCCTCAGTGTCATTGTCACTCACCTCTGAGGCTCCTGTTTTTGTTCTAAAAGGAGGCAGTTATACCCCGCTCCCGGAACTGTCATCCAAATTGGGAAGATGGAGGGCACGTGGGGCCCATGGCCACCGTAGCTGACACGGAGTATCCGCTGGCTGTTAGGTAGTGACCTTGTCGCTGCCTGTTTTATACCCTCGGGATCGGAAATCTGGGGAGAGGAAAGCAGATGAACCTCGAGCAGCCGAATTTGGGTGCAGAGTACTTATCCGTCACCTTCCCCCTGCAGGTGCCCAGGAGGACCCCATTGGCAGCCCTCTCTGTGGTTCCTCCCAGACCCCTGCCTGCTGCCACTGAAAGAGGCTGAACCCCGCTCCAACTGGCGGCTGCATAGTCGGAAGCTCAGCATGTTGACAGGGTGAGGGGCCCAGGGTTGTCCAGAGAGCCAGTGGGATTTGCCCTGAGGCACACAGCAACGCCAGCCGTGAGCCTCTGGCTGGGGGGTGGATTTGCAGTTGTGTTAACGCTTTTGCACTTGGGCTTTGAGGCTTCTCCTTTCCCAACAGAGCAATGGAGCTCTGGCACGGCCTAGTGATGGCAGCGGTGTCCCTCCTCCTGCAGGCCTGCCTCCTCATTGTGACTGGTTTCCTGCTCAGCCGGCACATTGGTAAGGGCCTGGCCCCCTCCTGGTCACCCTCACGGCCATCCCCCAGCCTGCAGTAGATGACGCCCCCTTGGAGACCCTGAGTGCCACTGTCCTCCCTCCCCTGTCACTGGGTAATCAAAGCTCTAACCTCACCGTTAACCGCAGTGCCGGTGTGGAGGGGCTCCTTCAGCTGGCCTTGATTCGTTTTCTTTCTCAGCCCAAAGGGCTGATGGTGAAGAATGGCCTTGAGTTGCAACAGAAGGAAATTCTGGGAGATTTGTTGAGCTTCCTGGGCTGATTTATGGCGCCAAAGCTCTGTCCTGGGAAAGCATTCCAATTAGGAAAATGGCGCTGCTTTGGCTGCGCCACGTCAAGGGATTAGGCATGATGATGTTTTCAGTAAACATCCAGTAGAAGAAGCCCTTTCCGTTCCTTTGCTCATCCATCCATTCATTCATTCCTTTGACACATTTATTGAAATCTCAGGCACCAGCCAGGCCCAGGCTACGTGACAGGAAATAAACCAGAGATTCCTGCCCTGTGGAACTTCTATTCCACTGGACGAGCAAGATAATAGCAAGTGACACACATGTATGTTAGGTTGTGAGTGCCAGGGAGGAAACACAAAGCCAGACGATCAGATATGTCCCTGAGGCGCTGGCATCTGAGCAGGAGCTTGCAGGAAGTGAGGAGAGAGCCGCACTGCAAAGGCAGAAGCAGGAGTGAGCTGGGCAGTGAGCAGGGACCAAGAGGCTGATGGCTGGGGCCAGGAGCAGCAGGGGCCCGCCAGAGAGGAGAGGGCATGAGGTCACACGGAGGGGCTCAGAAGCTAGTCAGGCTTTCTCGAGCGAGGAAAGGAGACACCACAAGGTTGGAGCACAGCAGAGCTGAGATTTGAAAGGCTCCCTTGGAAGCTATGGCGATGGATGGAGGGTGGGTTCAGAAGGCCTTTGATTTCGGAGGGGGGCCTAACCCAGCAGCTGTGACCACCTGTGACCTTGCCCTCTCTGCTCCAGCCCGGCAGAGTGAACGGATGCTCAAAGAGGTCAGGCTGGAGGCCCGGGGCTCTCGCTCTGTCCACCAGCCCCCGCCAGCCGCCAAGGAGACCACGGAGACTTGGATAGAGAGAAGCACCCGCGTGTCCGTTCCGCGTTACGGGCGTGAGTCAGTGGCGGGGCGGGGCCTTGTCCTGAAGCTTATGGCGCCCTGTTGGGAGCCTCCGCACAGCAGCCTAGGGCCGTCCTTGCTGAGCAGATCTCCAGCCAGGGTCCTCACACTCGGGGAGTCCAGGCCTCGCCAGACTGCCTTTCCCGGAAGGTCGTCATCCTGTGTGTGGAGAAGACCCCTGGGTTTGCGTGGGTCTGGGTTCCTTCCTGGAACTGCCCCTGAGTGAGCGATTGCAAGGGTCTCAGACCCTGCTCCTCCTTGCTGTGATATCTTCCGCTCCTCCTGCTAAGGGTGGAGCTAGGACTTTAACCACCCCTCCCTGCCCCACCATGGCTCCTGCAAGGCACCTACCACCTATCTGACCAGTGGATGGCTGGTTCTGGACCTAGCTCCTCCACGGGAACCTCCTCATGGTCTGAGACCTGCTCGGGGACCTGGCCATTTGCATAAATATGTGTCCTAGTGATGGTTCCCTCTCTATTCCCTGTTGCAAGAAACTCCACTCTTCTGGTTTTGTCCACACACCTTAGGTCTTTCCCACCCCTGCCCCTGAAGTGCTGGTGACCAAACCTAGGGCCTCGAGCATGCTGGGAATGCTCTCTCCCACTGAGCTACATCCTCAGCCTTGTTTTCTATCTCAAGGTTTGGGAGAACCAAGGGCTCGCTATTGAAACTGCTGCTTACAGCGGGTGCCCTCGCCCAAGACCACTTTTTCCGCTGGTTTATCTCTGATTGACTGATTTGCTTTTTCTCCATCCTGCTGATTTTATCTTTTTGGCTGAGATAAGGCCTCAGAGTCTGTGGTAACCAGCGAGGGCAGCTTACAGCCCTCCAGTGTTTCTCAGCCCGGAGAAGGCACTGGCCTCCTTCTGACCCCTGGCCACAGAGCTTCACCGGAGCCTGGCCACAACCAGAGACGTTCAGCTAGCAGGGCCCTCAGCCATCACTGCTCAACCCCCTTGCTTTACAGAGGACACAAGTCAGGCCACAAAGAGAGATGTGAGCTGCCTGCAGCTAGTGACAGCTGTAGACGGGAACCTGTGCCTGGGACTTGCAGGGCCAGAGCGGTTGATGCTGGGCCACACTGCCTCAGCTTGTGCCTGCTTGCTGCTCCTGCCCCACTTCCCCAGCACAGTAAAGTCTGTTGTGTTTGTATTCGTTTTAGATGGAGCTGGGGGAAGCAGCGGTGTTGGATTCTTGTACATGTCCCTGCCTAATGTCACAGGCTCCCTTGCCCACCGCCCTTTCTCTGCTCTGTTTTCTCTTCTTTCTCTTTCCGCATCTCTGTATCTCTCCTCCTGCTTCTCTCTGAATTGCTGGCTCTGCCTCTGTCACTTTATCCTCCCTCCCACTCCCTCCACCCTGTCTCAACACCCTCTGGCTTGCTTTGGAAGAAGAGCCATTTCCATGTTCTCTCCAGGTGAGAGCGGCACATCCTTGGATAGCTCGGAAGGCACAGACAGCTCGGACGGCACAGACAGCGCACCTCCCACCGGCCAGGTAAGGACAATCAGGTGATCCCAGCCTCCACGTGCAGCCTGGGGTCCCTGCCGTAAAACAGGGAACTCAAGCCACCCCGGCTATGTTACTGGGAACAGCAAAGGAGGGCCTGGCCCGGCTTCCAGCCTCTCGGGTGAGGGTGTCCCATATCAGTGTGGACCACCTAAGCAGAGCCAGTCTGAGCAGACCGTGAAAGTGAATGCGCTAACGAGAAGGCCCCTTCCCCAGACCCCAGTCACAAGGCCCAAATCTGCACTGGATCCCACCCCGACTTCGAGTCTCTGCATCTTCCTTCTCATCTGCTGCATCCCAACCGCTCATCCTGAAACCCGTTCCCTGCAGAAGGTGGGACGCGGCCATTCGCAGGAGAGCCTTGGACTTGCTCTCAGACACAGCCCCTGGGTCCCTGTCCTTCCCACCGAGCCTGGGTGAGGCTCTCTAGCTAGAGCTCAGTCCTGGGGTCTCCCCTCTTCCGAGCACGGTGCACACCTTTCCCCACATGGCTCTGCTTTCTTCCCAGGTCATCAATGATGTGAATTACACACAAGTGGTCTTCTCAACCCCTGGAGGACGAAGCAGGGAACCTGCCCTGGATTATGAGAACATGAAGGAAGCCACGGATTACGTCAATGTCAATCCACAAAGCCACAAGCACAGTTTCTGGGCATTTTCGAACCCTGCTGTCTCCGAGCCGGTGGAATATTCTCAAGTGGTTATATGAATTCTAGGGTTCTTAAAAAATAAGGTACAATTCTCTATTGATTCTTGCATTTATTTTGTATGAGAATTCCTTTAAATTAAAAAAACAAAGTATAGGGGAAAAATAGGTCTAGGTCCCAACAAGAAGGATCCAGATCAGATGTTAGGAAGAACTTCCAAGTAAAGTTTAAAAACATTGACATACAACCAGAGAGAAAGTGGTGAGGTCTTCTAAAAAGTTTTAATCAGCTCCAGTGAAGTTCTATTTGGTGATCTTAAGGTTAAATGACTTCTTTTTGAGTTCTTTAATTATTTGCAATAAATAATTTTCTTAAAGATTTTAAGTAGAGTTGCAATACTGGTTCCTCTTCTCCTCTTGCCTAATCCTGCACTTTGGCCCTTTTATCAGTGTTGTATTTTTGCTGAATAATCCTGCTTTGCCTTCACAATTTCAAGTAATTCACTTATAAAGCCTACCATCAATCAGTCTTTGAGTTTGCTGATTTTTTTTTATAAGCAAAAATGACAAAGAGAATCCTAGTCAGTATCAGCTGGTATCACAATTGGTTATTCCAAGGAAAATCTTTCAAAATTTAATACAATAAAATTCAATATTAATTCCTGGGGTTTTTTAAACCAATTATGAATAAGAAGGTCCTTCTTGACTTGATTAAGAATTGTTTACTCCAAATCAGCAGATAACATGATATTTAAGTGTAAGATCCTAGACACAGTCCCATTAAAACAGGAACGAAGTAAGACTGTCCACAACCCTGCTGTTGGCTTATTGTCCAACATTGCTTGTTTAGAAGTTCTTATCAGTGCATTAAACAGCAAGCCGGGCACAGGGGTCCACATTTATAATCCCAGCTATGCAGAAAGCTGAGGTAGGAGGATCACTTGGATCCTAGAGTTTGAGACCAGCCTGGGCAACATAGTGAGACTCCCATCTCAAAAACAAATAAAAATAAATAATCAAGAGCCATCATTACTGAAAGGAGGATAAATTGTTCACTGCAGATATCCTAGCCCTAGAAAGCTACAGGAACTTAAAATATTGATAATGCATAGTAAGCAGTGATTGGATGCACATTTTTTCCAATAGCAAAGTAAGACCATGACTAAGCAACCGCACCCCAAAAAATGAAATCTCAGGAATACTCTTGGCCAAATCCAATCCAGACCCATGGTGTTCAGGTCATAGAGAGCTCCACGGCTGTGCCCCAGAGCTGGCTATAGATGACATCTGTGTCCTGGGGCTGTGAGCCGCTGGTGGCCTTCAGCTTCCCAGTCTCCTCCCCCAGGAGGGTCTGTAGTGGTGGCTCTGGTATGGATTTCAGGATCTGGAAAATTCTCACCACCACCACCACCTTTCACCTACCATTGTTAATTCCTTCCTTGAAAGTTTTGCTTAATGGAGAAAAAGAGATTCTACTGATCAGAGAGGCAGAATGAGGAGTAAACATCAATAATAATAACGCTGTCTTTGCAGCAAGAAATTAAATTCTACTTCCTATTGATCTCTTTTAAAAGGCTAAAAAACATTCAAGAGTGTGCTGAAAAGGTGCAACAAGTTCCATACGGGCCGCCGAGAGAGACAGTGTAGGGACATTGCCATAGCTGCTGCACATGAGGCGAGGGGACAGCTGGAGCGGACCCAGGGCCAGGCCCGGGGGCCGAGAGGCGAGTGAAAGCATGATGAGAACACTTGGCCATCAGAGATCATCAGGGTGCAGTTAGGACGCTTTTGACCTAGTTGGGGGACGGGAAAGAACTGGAGAACATATGCAGAACAGCATGTAATGGGGGGATTAACAGCAGGAAATGACAGGGTTAGATCTGGGGAAATGATGAGGCAGACCTATTCAGAGAACATCCCAGACAGAGGTTATTTCTAACCTTGGTGTAGAAAGGAGGGTGGAAAGTCAACTGACAAAAAGCAGAAGGAAAGTGAACAGGTCTGCCACAGTGCGGGCTCCCGGGAGCACGTGAGGGCTGTCCTGGCGTGAACAGTGTGCAGAAAAGTCTGCCTGGGCTCAGGGCATGCCGGTGCTCAGGAGCAGGGAGAGGATGGCAGCGAGTCTGGGGCTGTAGGATGCCACAGACCATCTGAGTAAGGTCCCGGATGATAGCATTTTACAGCAAACCCACCACGGAGGGCAGCACTAGCAGCCACCCTAACTGCTTATCAGGTGCAGGCACTCTTGGAGAGCACTGTTTAAAAATCAAATTGAAAATGTGACTTGACCAAATGACTCACACAATTTTGAGGTTCCAAGGTGTAGATGACTCCTCAGATGCTGTGATCAGTAAAAGGGGAACTGATTTTGCCTCCTAAGGGTTTTGAGCTTGTAAGCTTTTGATGGGGGCTAGCTAAAAATTTAAACAACAGTAGTTCCCATTATCTGTGGAAGACACTTCCACGACTCCCTGTCTAAAACTATGGACAGTACCAAAGCCTGTGTGTACTGTTTTTCCTATACATACATATATACCTATGAGAAAGTTCAATTTATAAATCAGCCATATTAAGAGATTAACAATAGGAATCATTAATTAAATTGAACAATATTAACAATGTACTATAGTAAGTTATGTGGCTAAGGTCTCTCTCTCTCTCATGCATGTGACACTGTGACAGTTAATCTGATAACCAGGGCAGCTACTGAGTGACTACTGGGTGGGTAGCATATATAGCACGCATACACTGGACAAAAACATGATTCATGTTGCAGACAGGAGAGAGCAGGATGGTGCAGGGTTTTATCACACTATTCAGAAAGGTGAGCAATTTAAAATTTATGAACTATGAATAGGGAAGACCACTGTAATCTTTGAAGCCATCTCCAGCCAGCTTGCTGCAATAAAATGCCCTGCATTCCTCATATTTCCATGCACTTAGAGGGTTGGCTGCATAAATCTCTGAATAGTTGCCTGGATACATAATCTCCCTTTGAGGAACAGTTTCCAGTTTGATGAGGTTATGTTCTCCCATGTTACTTATCATTGGTTCCTCCAGGGAACCACTATGCTGATCCACTCTAAGTTCCTCCAGGGGTGAGGACTGGATGGAAATCTTCCCAAAATTACCTGATAATAAGATGGAAACTAATTTGCTACCGGCATCCAATAGACAGTTGATTACCTGCCATCAGTGAGCCGGGACTCTAGACCACAATGAATGTGACTTGTCTTTAGTGAATTCCTAAAAAGAACAAGCATTGAAATGCCCACCATGGGGGCTGCAGCACAATTCTGTCTCATTAGCCACCCAGACCTACTTAGGTGGTGAGGGGGTATTTTAGGTTCATTTTGCTCCTGGGATCAGGATGGATCACTGGGCTCAGAGGGGTCTCAAAAGATATATTCCCTCTACCTCTAAACCAGGACACCGAAAAGTAAGTGATTCATCTGGCTTTTTGAGACTCACACTGAAGTCTCACTGCCTTTGAGGCTGGAATTTCTATACTCAGCCTTCATTCTGCTGTAGATACCTCTTTTTCTCTGTCCATGCGAAGTGCACTAGCTTCTGTGTGCTTCAAGGGAAGGGAGCAGGTGTCTGGGTATCTCAGGGGAACTGTGTCAAATGAAGGACTGAGACTCTTTAAGGGAAAGGCTTCGGGCCTGCAGGAGAGGTGAAGTGTACACACTGAATCTCAGCAGTGTTGGCTGGAGAAGGGGCTTCCTCCTGATTCTTACCCAAAGCCACCCAGCCCACCCCAGGCTGATGGTGTGGGCACTTTCAGCCCCACACTGCCACCTTGTGGCTCCAGGGCAAACTCAAGGCCCCTCTGTCTTTCCCATTTGAGCTGGACACGGGCTCTGGGGAAGTGGTCTCACCCTACCCCTTCCTCAAGAAGATCACAATTTATCTTGTACAACACACTACCGCTGCCCTTAGGAAACAAATAAGCCCGCAGATTTCCTGGATGTTAAAGACTTTCATTGATCGATTTCAACCACATCTCTGGGTTCCTGACCCAGGAGCAAACTGCTGCTGCCTGGGCTGAACCTATAGACCCTTCATAGAGAAAAATGCCTATTTACACACAAAACACAGACAGAGCCTTCTGGGAAGTTGCTGGCCTACACCAAACAATGTAAAAAGCCATTCTGACCCCCACTCCGCCTGGCGGTGAACGGGGGACAGTGGCTGGGTGTCGGGGACGCCAGGCCCAAGGAAGGGGAGACTGGGTCCTCCTGTCACCTGAATCTGCCCAGTAGGGGCTGTGTCCCACGCGCCAGCTCTCAGCGCTGCAGGCTCAGGATGTTTTGCTCACTCGCAACACTCGGCTCAGGTGCTTTTCTTTCAAGGAAACCTAGAGTTGAGTTGCCTCCTAAAGAAGAGTGAGCGCCAAGCCACCGTCACATGTCAAGGCTTCCCTGGGGTGGGGCAGAGAGAGCCGGGCCCTCAGGAGCCCTTGGCTAGATGAGCAACTGTGTACACCTGCTAGAGCTTGGGGCAACAAACCACACTTACAGCCACAGTTCTTCCTGACCTTCGAGCCAGTCCTCCCCCGCTTCTGGCAGCTGCTCTTGCCACCACGAAGGCCGGGGCAGGGAAGCACCCCGTGGCCTAAGTTCCCTGGACATGATGAGGAGAGGAGAACAAAGCCCCAGTTCCACAGCACTCTGCTGTCTCTCCGCCCTTGGAGGAGGAGCTGGCACCACAGAGCCGAGGGTGGAAGTGGACAGCAGGGCAGTGGCCAGCCCCTCAGTCGCCAGAACTGAATGAAAGGGTATAAATGTCACTGTCATAAAAATTCAGCAATTCTTCTGAGCTTGTGGGTTAGAACACCCTCTGTGTTTCTCCACTTGAATATGATTTTCCATTTTGCAAAATCACAGAAGGCTAGAGCTGAGAAAGAGTTTCTCCCCAAGGCAGAGCTGAGGGGCAAATCCCGGGCTCCTGCCTCAGGCCCAGGGCCGGGCCAACTCACAGTGAAAACTCCACGGAGCCTTGGGACACCGAGCCAAGGTCATTGCTTCTCAAGGGTGTCTTCTCTGTCCAGCAGCCCCAGAGGAAGGCACAGTTCGGGGCCCTTGAGCCCCTGCCACCTCCAGGCTTATCCCTGGTCTCAGAGGTACTGGGACCATTTCTACCTCTTTCTTCCCATACCCATCCCCGGTGGGCGATACCACTGCGGACGAGAATCACTTATCCCTGCCACCCAGCCTGTGACGGGTGGCATGGAGAAGAAGAACCGCAGTCTGTGGACTTCCTGCCAGGTACCAGGTGCTGGGCTGAGTCTGCGTCTCCGCCAGGCCATCTCCTTCCGGAGACAAGCAGCTGGAGCAGGGGCGGCCCCTATCCACGCGCTCTTCCTCATTAAACGCTCCTCCTTCAGCTGTGCATGCTGTCTCACTCCAAGAGGCTGAGGCCAGCGGGATCCCAAGTCTGGACCCAGTCCAGGAAACTTAGCAACTCAATGAGACCCTGTTTAAAGAAAAACAGGAACTTGGAATGTAGCTCAAGGTGAAGGCTCTGGGTTCAATTTTTTAGAGAGGGGACAGGTGGCCAAGGCATGAGACCGGCCTCTGGGCTCCCGACACTGATCTGGGGTAACCCAAGTGCCTTTGCAAGCCTGCCCCCCATCCGGGGCACCATGCCTACCAGGTGGGTGTGTTCTCAGGACCAGGGAGCTGGGCTGTTTGACCCTCCCGACCCTCAGTCTTCACACTAGGAGCAGCTGTGGCACCAAAGGCAGGGACAACCACTGCGACCCCTTCGCCCTGTCTCAAACTCGGCTCTTTCACACCCGCACTGACCTCCCAGCCCCACACCAGTGCCCAGGAAAGACAGACACCTCCACTCACCGTGGGGCAGAGCCAGACTCCGGGGTCCTCTCTAAAAGGTGCTGGTCTCAGTGGGGGCTTCGTCACCTTCCCGCTCTAAGTCCTTCAGTGACCCCGCAGGCCCAGGCCTCCCACCCAGGCTGGGGCTGAGGGTGGGCGGGCAGCTGGAGCGGGTCAGCAGTGTAAAGCGGCGGCTGGACAGGCTGCCATTGGAGAGCTGTCTGCGAAGCTGGGGCCGGGCAGCCCTGCAGCAGGCCAGGCGGCCCAGGGACCGTGGCAGCAGGTGGCTGTTGAAACACATGTAGATCCAGGGGTTGCAGCAGCTGCTGAGGTTGCCCAGAAGCATGGAGATGGTGAAAGCCACATTGGTGGAATCTGGCAAGAGAGAAGCACAGGAAGCCTCAGGATGGCCCGGGAGAGAGGCATCACTCACAGGACAGGCGAGGACACCGAGTCCCACAGAAGCAAAGGGCTTTACTTATAATCGGAGAGGACTGCAGCTGTGGCTCGAACCTGGTCCCTGACTCGAGAGTTTCACCTTCCCGAATTTTTGGTTTGTTTTCATGCTGTAACTACGGGGAAGGGAGGGGAGGAGCTGAAATTTGTTCCAGTTGAATTGAGGTTACACATTCTCAGGGCTAGAACCAGCCCACATAGGGGAAACTGGTTTTGTACTAGAATCTAGACCGTGAATCCCCTAACAGATATAGACCTAGGGTGAGGCATGTCTATAAAACACTCAGGAAAAGTAACCAAGATCTGGTCCCTTGGGCCCCGTCCTCACCCATGTCACAGATCGAGGCTTCGTGTTACAGTCTGGATTCTGTCCTCCCTCGTCTTTGGGGGCAATCCTCCCATCCTGTTGCTGTCACTGAACACGTGTGAGCACTGGCTCTGGGCTGGGGACCTGGACTGGGGACCTAGTGGGCAGTCAGTGGAGCATGACTGCTCTGCAGGTTGCTCCACCGTCATCTCCAAGCGCCAGAGGGACAGATTCTCAGTACAGGGCATCCGAGCGTCCCAGGCCAGGCCAGTGCTGCTCTGTGTTGCAGGGAAGGACAAATTTCTCTCCTGGGCAGCCAGAACCCTGATAAGATTCCCTCCAGACACTGTCTTCTTTCTGGAGATGAACTGAAACTGCTCTTGCCAACAGGAAGGCTGCTGGGATGGGCCCGTCCTCCTGCTGGGTCACCCTGTTGACAGCTGTGGTGCAGGTGGCTCACTGAGTTAGTGTGCTCTGCAGAGGGGCTTCAGAATCTCTGGAAGCAATGCCAGACTGGAAGAAAGCTTAGGGGTGACCCTCCAGTTGTTACGGGGCAGTGGACAGGAACTGCCTTCAGACCAAGGTCTCCAGCTCTGAGACAGGTCCTGCAGAGAGCCCAGCTGGCAAAGTCAAAGGCCAGGCTCGTGTGCCCACAGGTGAACCATCCTCATGTACACCTCCCATAGGTGTGCTCAAGGAATGCTACCCAGCGTCCTAACGCAGGACTTAAAGCAAAACAAGCCTCAGGCAGTTTCCCCCACCTCAGGTCACACACACACACACACACACACACACACGCATGCACGCACACACACACGCACACACCCGCCAGCTCCAACTCCTTGTTCTGCTATAGGCTCGGTAAACACCAAGATACTTGCTAAGAGTCCTGAGACCACCTGCTTCTCAAGAATCTGCCTTCCTTCCTTCCTTCCTTCAAGGCCGGCCTCCCCCAGTACTGTTAGGGCAGACAGTTCCATTCCTAGGAATGAAGAGAAGGAAAGACACAGGGCAAGAGGCATGAGTCACGGGCACGAGAAGGCAAAGCACCTGGGCTGGCAACAAGATCCTCTGCTTAGGAAGCACTGGTTAGTTTGGCCCTCTGAGCCAGGGCCAGTGCAGGGGCTGCAGACTGCCACGAGGGAGCAGCAGCGTCATCTCAGCTCCACTTCTCAGCCCTGGAGGGAAGATCTGCTGTGCCAGTCCAGGCAGAAACACAGCTGACAGTGGGGGCAAGGAGAGGGCAGGGACACAGACTCTAGACTCAAACCAAAGACTTGGGCCAGGAGGCCGGCATGCTGGGGACGAGAGCTCAGTCCACCTACATGTAGGTTTAAACTAGTGAATTTCAGCCCAAAGATGCGATCAGTAAGTGGTAAATCACTGTGCAGGTGAGGTGCTCGGGATAGGCTTGCAGTGGAAGCAGGGAGCCTGCCCTGGCTGAGCATCAAGATCCTTATCTCCTGTGGGTTCCTCAATAAAGGGCAATGACCCCCCTGCCTGGTGCCACTAAGCGGTGATTGGGGGAGGTAAGTATGGCACAGATAGGGACTCACTTCAAGGCCCGACTCCCTCGCCCCCAGCAGTGGCATTTTTGGACCAGTTGCTTTGCCTCTGTGAGTTCTCAGATGTACAACAGAGAAGGCCACATTGAGGAAGGATGAGGTCTCGCTGTGCTTCGCACTGGGAGATGCCATATGCTTATTTGGATTTAATATGTTCATTGCTTACAAAATAATTTGCAAATAGCCTCTTCCCCAAACTGATGTCAAAGAGTGATTAAGAAGAGACAACGGGACCATCCTAGGTTGGCATTATTTTTTCATCTTTCCTGCATGACTGTGGTAAACTCAAAAATAGCCTTTCTCTGTTCCATCTCTCCAGAAAAGCAAAGTGTTTGGCTTGAGTGTGTTGTGGGATGAACAAAACGATTTAAAAACAAAAACTTAAGAGGAGGGGACAGCTTCCTGCCCACTGGTAGGAATTGGTAGCTTCACCCTGCTGGGCAGCGAGTTCTCAGGACACTTCCAGGGAGGAAGCCTGACCAGCCTCCCCCAAGGCAGCACACATGCCAACCAGACTGCAATCTTGTGCGGGAGGAAGGCCCCTCTCCTTGGAGAGCAACTTTCAGAACCAGGGTTCTGGGCAGGACGTGGGGCTGAGGGAAAAGACAAGGAGACAGAAGACCTGGGCTCTACTCTGCATTTTGCCATTCCCCAGCTGTGTGGCCTCAGGCAAGTCATGGCCCTCTCTGAGCCTGTTTCCTCACTGATCCAACGAAGGGGCTGGAGTGGGCAGATCGGTAGTGACCGTTGAGCATGTCCTGGTGAAGCCGGGAGAGTGCCAACAGAATCCATTCCTGGGCCACAGATTGTCATTCTGGACCACAGGGTTTGAAAATCCCTCTTGGTTCTGCCACCCTTTGATCCCAATTCTAGCAAACTGGAAGTTGCTTGGGCAAACCTGCCACTGCACCAGTGTCGCGCGGTACTTTAAAACTGTCACACAGGTCGCCAGAACTGAAAGCTCAGGACATTTCACAGGAAGATGCACAGCACCGATGGGCCAGGTGAAAGCTGCAACTCCCTTCTGACATGGGACAGCACTTTGGTTTGAATGTTTGTCTCCCGAGTTAATGTGCTGGAAACACAACCCCCACGGTCACCGTGGGCCTTGGGGGGTACCTCGGGAGGTGACCAAGTCATGGGGCTGTGCCCTCCAGAACAGGTAACCGCGGAGCAATGAGTTTTGTTCTAAAGGCAAATCTGGCCATCTCTCATGATTCCCTCCTCCACGTGATGCCCTGCACCACCCCGGGACTCTGCGGAGAGCCCTGTCCAGCAAGAAGACACTCACCAGCTGCAGCCCCTTGACCTTGGGCCTCCTGGCCTCCAGAACAGTAAGAAATAAATTTTTTTCTTTATAAATCACCCAGTCTCGGATATTCTGTTACAGCAACAGAAAATGAACTAAGACAAGTAAGCACCAGGTGGCAAAACCACTGAGCTAAATCCCCGGCCCCAAGTGCCCATTCCCTCACTGCTCCACTCGTTTGTCACTGGCCTAGCCAAGGGAGGAGGCATGGTAGCTCCTGCTGAAACCCTAACCCTGACTTCCCTGTCTTTTCTCCCCCTCACCCTACACAGGCCACACACTTGCCTTCATCCGGGGCATTCTCGTCCCACACAGACCACATCTGGACACTGAAGAACGGCGCCCAGCAAGCGACGTAGGCCAGCACGATGACGAAGGTCATCCTCACGGTGCGGATCTTGGCCCGAGAGACGGTGCCCGTGCTGCTGACGCGGGACAGCCGCCCCTGAGTGGCTGCTGCTGGGGCCGATGGTAAGGCCTTGCCCCACGTCCTCCGGCTGCTCCTTTCCACCCTCCCCACCTTCGTCTTGGCTTTCAGGTTCTTACAGATCTCACGGCAGATCAGGCTGTAGCAGGTGGTGAGCATGGCCACGGGCAGGACAAAGATGGCCACGGTGGTCCAGGTGATGTAGGCCCGGGGCCCCCAGGGGAAGCGGAAGTCAGCCCAGCAGTCCAGCACCCCGGAGCCCTGGATCACCTCCCGCAAGGAGAAAATGAAGACTTGAGGGAGGCTGAGGATGGCGGCCAGCAGCCAAGGGGCAGCGATGAGCAGGTAGGTGGACTGGCTGGGCTGCTGGAGGCTGCGCAGGGGGTGACAGATGGCCAGGTATCGGTCCAGGGTCATGGCCAGCAGCATGTAGGTGGAGGCAAACATGCTGAGCACCTGCAGGTATTTGATGGCCCGGCAGAGGACGTCGGGGCCCTGGAATCGGTAGGTGAGGTCCCAGAGCAGCTGGGGTAGCACCTGGAAGAGGGCCACAGCCAGGTCGGTCAGGGCCAGGTGCAGCATGAACAGGTGCACGCAGGAGCTCTTCAGGCCCGGCCGGCCCAGGACCAGCAGCACGGCCAGGTTGCCCCCCGCGGCCAGCACCAGGACTGTGGCCAGGACGCCAACCTCCACCCTGGCCAGCTCTTCATCCCGGCCGAGCCAGGGTGCGGTGGCATTGAGGGCAGAGAGGGTGCCCTGTGGGGTGGGAGCGGCCGCCCAGGCAGGCCGAGAATTCATGGTGAAGGTTTGCTGGGAGGGAGGAGAGGAAGGAGGGTGGAGAGGTGTGGATGCAAGTGGAGCTGAAAGGCTGTGTGCAGAGAGAGATGTGACACGGAGAGGAAAAAGGCTCGGGAACACGTGGAGTGGTTCGGAAGGACAGGGACGGCGAGGAGGGGAGGGGATGAATGGGGCAGGAGGGAGAAGACGGAGCCAGACAGAAGCGGGCAACCCCGGGAGCGGGAGGGGGGAGGAGCCCCGGGGACAGGGTGCGGGAGGAGGGCGAGGCTTCCGGAGGAGGGAAAGCCGCCCGCCACCGCTCCAAGGCCCCCGAATTCGCCTCCTCTAGACTTCTCTGGAAGTGGAGAGCGGAGTCCCCGAGCCGAGCCGTGCGAAGCGCGGCGGAGACCGTGGTGTCGCCCTGGGTGCTGCTGCCCGCGCCCGACGCTCTCTGCCCGGGCTGCCCGGAGCGGAGCAGGACCCGCAGTCCGGGGGCCCCGAGGGCAGCGCGACCCCACAGACCGCGCCCGGCCTTGGGGCCAGGGGCTGGGAGCCACAGGGTGGGAGTGGGCGCTCGTGCAGGAGCGGGCGGGCGGGTCAGACCCGGGAGGGGACCCCGCGCGGGGAGGAAGGTGGGCGCGCGTCCTGGACCTCGCCAGAGCAGATTACAGGGTCTTTAGCAGCGGCCGAGGCGGGGTCCGAGCGAGGCCTGCCTTTCTTCAAACCCCGTCCGGCCTCCAGCCCCTTGGCGCTGCCCCGCGCCACGCGCAGACCGGGTCCTCGGAGATTCTGCCTCGTGCGGTCCGCAAACAGCCCACGCCCCCACGGCCTCAGGGATATCCCCCACCATTTCCTTCTGTATTTTTGCATTCCAGGCTGGCCTCAGTGTCCCGGAAATCCTCCTGCCTCAGCCATTCCAGGATTACAAACATGCGCCACCACACCCCCTGAGGAGTTTGCTCTGAGTGATGACCTTCAGTCTGTGGCTGATCATTCCCACGTTTATGCAAACACACTGTAGTACTACTAAAAAAAATCCTGACCTTCCGAGACCCTCTCCCCAGCTATTCGATCCCTTCCCCTTCTCGGCAAAACGTCTCAGAAAGGCTGGTCTCCGTTTTCTTGCTCCTCATCATTCATTTCTGGGTGCATTTGTTTAATATTTTATAGAGATGTATGCTTTTAAAATATATAAATGACACCATGCCACATGAGCTATTCTGGAACTTGCTTTTTAAATTCTACATTATTTTTTTTTAATAAAATTGTATATATTTTTAAAAACAAATTCTGTGTTATTTTGAGCTCTGTATATGCACATATACAGGAGAGCTCTCATTCATTTTAACTACTGCATAATATTCAAGCATGTGAATATACACATTTTATTTATCCAGAACTAGGCTATTTCCAGCTTTTTACCTACTACTTGTTATTTTTATATGGGTATATTTCATTTTTGTTTTTGGTTGACAGATAATAATCGCACAATTTATAGGTACAATATGATGTTTCAATTTATGTACACAATTTCTTTTAAATGCTACAATGAATGTTTTTAAATATAGTCTTGTGTTTATGTGTCAGAGTTTGGGTTTTTTGTTTGTTTGGGGGTTTTTTGGTATCTGGGATCGAACTTGGGACCTTGTGTTTTTGGGGCAGGCAGCAGAACCACTGAGCTAAATCCCCGGCTATGTGTCTGAGTTTTATCTGAAGTGTATAGCAAGAAGTATATACTGAGTATAAGCATTGTCCAGTTGTACAGAGTATGGATTTTCAACTAGATAGGCCATATCCTACATTTTTATCTCTAAATTACTTTTCCTACATTTTAGTTTCCCAACATTCTCAAAGTGATACTTTTAAATTTTTGCCAATATGTTAGGTATGAACTAGCACCTCATTTTGCTTTTCTAGTTCTCTGATTATAAATTAGTGTATTTTTTCTTACACTTCCTCAATTGGATTTCCTCTTCTATGAATTATTCCTATCCTCTGCACAACTTTTTATTAGGCTGTTGTTCTTTTCAATGTGTAGAACCTTCTTGTATATTCTGATATGAATCTTCTATGTATTCTCATATTTTGCAGACATCTTCTCTAGTATGCTGCTTATCTTTACCTTTTTTTTTTTTTGTACTGGGGATCAAACTCAGGACCTTGCACTTGCAAGGCAGGCGCAGTGCCACTGAGCTAAATCCCTGGCCCTGCTATCTTTAACTTTGTATAAGGTCATTTACTATACAGACAAATTTGATTATGATGTAATCAGCATTTTCTCATCAATTTTGTATCTTCTGTTTCCTATTTTGAGAATAGAGATATTCCCCCTCATATTTTCTTCTAATAGATTTAACTTTTATTTTTCGTGTTTATGTCTCAAATCCATCTGGAATTTATTTTTGTGTATGTGTGAGGTAATTATCAAGCTTGTTTTTCTCTCACATGGGAAAGCAATCATTCTATTTATTAAATAGTCCATTGTTACCTGACTATTACCTACGCGATTTAGCAAGTTTAAAAATTTGTTTGAGACTCTTTCTTGGATCTCTAGTATTTCATTGGTTTATTTTTCTATCCCTAATCCAAGATTTCACTATTTTAGTCACCACAGCTTTATAATGAAACTTAATATATGGTTAAAAACAAAACAAACAAACAAAAAACCTAGGCCTCTTCCTTGTTCTTTTCAAAATACTTCTCAAAATTTTAAATTGCAAAATTTAATATCAGTTTGGCTAGTCCCACAAAGAGTTCTGTTGAATTTTTAGTTGGAAACATTGAATTTAGAGATTAATTGGAGAGAATAAACATTTATGATTTTATTCAGATCTCTTTTTATGTCCTTCAATAATGTTTTATAACTTTCTTTTTTTTTTTGGTACCGGGGATCGAACTCGGGTCCTTGCGCGTGTGCAGCAGGTGGTGAAACTACTAAGCTAAATCCCCAGCCCTTTTATAACTTTCTTTATAAATATCTCCCCCCTTGTGATGAGTGGATCCAATGTACTGTAGTCTCTGTTGCCATTACACATTTCATTTTGTTCTCCTGTATGTTCTAATACTAATTGTCCATTGTCCACATATGGAATCATATTGATTTTTGTACTTTCTGTTTGTCTGCAGTTTGTAATTTATTTTTGATTCCTTATGCATACAATATTGTCTGGAAACAATAATTTTCGGTCTTTTGTTCCCAATCTATTTATCTCGCATTTATTTTTCTTGTCTTGTGAAGCCTTAGACTCCAGTACAATGTTGAAGAGCAGGAATCATTGATGTTTCCAAGTTTAGTGATAATGCATCCAAAATTCCACTGATAAGTACTGTGTATATGGTAGGTCTTCATTTTTCAATCTTTAAAACAGACTTACTTTTCGTATGTATATGTTATAGTCAAACGATTCTATAGTAGTCATTATGAAAAAGCTAATCTCTCCTTATCACTTCCATGTTCCATTTCCCTAGAGGTAATCATCTCCTTCTATTTTTAAGTTTTTGTTAAAGAAAAACAACCATATACAAAAGTAGAAAGGGCAGCATAAGGAAAGCCCGTGTTTCTATCACCCAGCGTTTGCAGTTATCAGTAGTTAGTAATTTTGTTTCTACAGTTTTTCAACAGGTTGTTTAGTCCAGATTCAAACAGGTTCTACATGGGCACTGGTTAATGTGTCTCTTAAGTTATTATTTGTAGATTTCATTTCCATCCTTCTGTAGCCTCTGGACCTTGCAGTATTATTTTTGTTGTTGAATAAACAAGATAGTTTTATCTTGTAGCATTACCACCATGTATATCCTGAGAGCTGCACCCTGTACACTTGTTTAATAAGTTTCTATCAGATTCTGGTCAGTCTGGGGGGTTTGGGGGGTATCAAGAATGCTTTGTGAGTGATATTGGGCACTTTCATCAGGGTACCTGATATCTGATCATTTCTCTCTTTCTGATGTTAGCAGCCACTGATAATTACTGCATAGATCCATTATCTCTTCAGGGTTGCAAATGATTATATTCTGTTGTTCCATTATTGTTCATTAATTTAAATAATTCTATAAAGAGAACTTTATCCTCATCAACTATTTAGATATTTTTAAGCACAATTTGTACAGGAAAGGGTGGATGAATGCTTAAAACTTATCTATTATTTTAATCCAAATACTATACTTTTAACACATGCTTTTTTTTTTGGTACTGGGGATTGAATTTGGGTCCTTGTACTTGTGCAGCAGGCGGCAAAACCACTGAGCTAAATCCCCAAAACTTTTCTATTATTAATCAGTTAATCAGTTTCAAAATAATGAATCAATTACCTAGAATTCACCAGTTCATGGATTTAGACGTTTTTGGTGGTTTCAATCCTTGTAGTTGCTATTGTTTTGGTGCTCAACTTGTTCCATCTTTCGCCAATGGAAGCTTATTTAAGTTGGCAAGTGAGTCCTTTTATGCTGGTGGTGTGCATTTGGCAGTGGATATTTTTTAAATTGTACTGTACATATCTTTTTTTTGAGATATAATTCATATACCCTTGCAAGTATAGTTGTATCAGTCACTGCTCCTGAGGGTCAGGTGTAGAAGAGTGCAAGGCATCTGTCTGAAGGATCCGGTCGAGGGCTTGGAACCCACAGCAGTGTCCCACGCAAGTCCGCATCAGGAGGCCGAAGGATCCGAGCTGGAAAACCAGAAGATCTGACCAGAAAGCCCCAAGGGCCTTGCTGGAAGCTGAAGAGTCTGGGCCTAAAGGTTGAAGGATCTAAGCCGAAGCCTGAGGGGTCCGCACTAGAAGGCAGAAGACGACATCCAAGATGACTGAAGCTCCCCCGAAGAGAGAAGGCCGCCAAAGTTCCTGCAAAGAAAAACCACCGAAACTCTTCCGAAGAGAACCAGCTGCAACGGACCTCTTCAAGGAAGATCAGCTGAAATCCTTCCCTCCCATTCTCCTTCCATAGGGTTCCAAAAAGAAGCCTCCTTACCTGGGTCTTCCACACCCAGAACCCGGGCTGGGCATTCCCCATCCAAGTTGAAA